TGATGTTGTCTAGAACGAAAATGAAAGCTTCACTATTAAACAATCTACCTCAGAGAACATAACACCATCAAAATGATCCTTCTGAGTTCTAAATATTCCCCATCATGAGTGATTCATGTCATGAATTTCACAACTACCCTGGTTCATCACATCATTAGAAAGTATGGAATTCCCTTCATGAAGTAAGCCACAAATGAATCATGTTTTGTGATCTGTTTGATTGGTTAAAAAGGATTTAATTGATATGAAGAGAATTTCTCCTGAGAACCAAAAATATCAAAGCGTCGGTGAGAATCTTGCTTTTCACCTTAGTTCGACACTCCTCAGTTGTTCATGTCTGAAAGATACAACTGTTCACTGATCTGTTATATTTGCTCATTTCTCACGTAAGATTGTTGAATATTAGTGAAACTCTCCCAAGCTATCAATCTAGTCCTAGAGTTCTTATCGACCAATTAAGCAACAAGCTTAAGAAGCAGGAAATATACCATGGTCTGCTAGTGAACCAACCACGACTCAATGACAAGAACAAGATTGACCAAATGTAAAATCCATTGGCTGATCAGTAGACAGTAATCAATTTCATGTTGCCTAGTCCTAAATACTGACAGAATTCTGTCGATCACTTCGCAGTGGGCCATAAGTCTAGAAGACTCAGTACTGCGGTGTATTTTGACAGGTGTTATTTGGAAGGAGACAATCGACAGGAAGTTCATCTCGTCAACGTAGGTTCCGTGCTTATTTGGACTCATCAGTAAGGTGTATCTGTCGTCAGTGACGTTACCACTTAGCTATTCGGATCATGATTAACCCTGGGTGATGTCGATTCGAATATCACAGGGGACACCAGTTCCCTTAAGGTTGCAGACGAGTGCCAACAAGCATGAAACCTCTGTAAAGATGGGTTTTCTGATGATCCTATTCACTCAACGAATATGACACTGGCGATCGTTTAGGTGTAAACTATAACAGTCATTTTCAAGTTTCAGTGCCTCAACCATGTATCTATGGTTTCTTACTAAATACTGAGAACATTTTATTCATACATATAAACATATACGCCGCAATTCTAACAAAATAATTAGTAAAAGGTTATGGCCGATAGTGGTTAGTAGTTGAGTGCAAGATACACTATCCGCCTTTTATTCACAACTTGTCAGTTAGATGGTTTTGTTCTTATTGTGACTAGCACCCAGAACCCATAGCTTCGAACGCTATAGTGTTATCCACTTCTTGTCAGACACGTTTAGTTGGATGTCAAAGCTTTTACCAAGAAGACTGCCAATTAGCTTGTCTTAAATTCGATTTACCTGAGGACTGATAGATGTGGAGAAATAAGTTACAAATGTAGTGATATTTAAACAGTACAAAGCATAGAAAGGAATGATCATATGAGTAATTTGGCAGCTGCTTCAACACTACGGTTTTAGTGCCACAGACTTTTATCAACTTCATTCAAGAGCTATACGACGATGCTACATGCCAAGTGGTTCACAATGGAAAGATCAGTGACGCCTTTGAAGTGAAGACAGGAGTAAGATAAGGTTGCCTACTATCACTCATGATCTTCCTAATTGTGGAGGACTGGATGTTGCAACGAATTGCGAGGAGCGAGAAGAGGGATAAACGCTAACTGGACCGATGAAAAGACCCTAGGAGATTCGGATTCCGCCGCCGACGATGATTTGTGTCTAATATCGCACAAACTCGAAGATCTACAGACAAGAACCAACAAGTTGACAGAAGAGGTGAGGCACTGCAGCAAAAACAGGACTCCAAGTGAATATAGAGAAGACAGAGGTGATGAAGATACCCAACCAACATCAACAACAAAAACAAACACCAATCACCATCAATGGAAGAAATCTAAAGGAAGTAGTCCCTTTCACCTGCCTAGGCAGAGCAGCTTCGTTTCAACTACAGGTATCGTGGACAAGATCGGAAAAGCAAGACAGGCCTTCATTAATCCGAAACCAGTGTAGAGACCTACTATACTGCACTACACTCAGCATAAAACGTGAACAAGATTCAGATTTTCAACACTAACGTCAGTCAAGTAAGTCAGTGCTTCTATGTGATGGTTGAGAGACATGCCGCGTTACGAAAATCATTTCCAACAAACTACAGACATACATCACATCAACAGCTGCTGCCTACGCTCACTCAACACTGACAATAGAGATCAGATGGATGGCCAGAATAATAAGAATAAGCAAGAAGGAACTGACTCCGGCTGGCCCGACAACGAACCAACCAACCAACAACCCATCACCCAACAAATATGGAGGAGAAAGTGGAGACGGATTGGACATGATATACACTGAGAAGATCGTCTGGAGACATCACGCATCAGACCAGGCCAGAGCGTTGAGTGGAACCCGAATGGGAAATGACGGGTTGGGCGTCCGAGGTGAGGGTGACATGGAGGAGATGATATAAGGGAGAAATGAAAGTTTGAGGGCGGTGGTGGAGTCAGGTTGAGAAGACTGCAGCAGGGAAAAGCATGAAATGGTGACGTGCAACTGAGGTTCTATGTTCCACTAGAAACTCAAGGGATTTTAAAATCATATCAAATTATTTAAGTTGAAAGAAGCTGATTCATCATCAACAGAAATGAATTAGATTTAGTTTTGATCCTATGATATGTTAAAAACTAAGCCATTTAATTCTAAAATTGATGAAACTAAAGGTGACATTATAAAAGCATAAAACGTGGGTATAGAGGCTGAATTTAATTCCATATTAGATTTTTATAACATACACCATGATACAGTATAATTCACTTGTTGACGTTTCCAGTATAAGTTATAACTGCTAGTAATCATATCAGTGTAATCACACTCCTTTCGACCTCTGATTTTTATAGTCCTGTCATCTTATTTTCTTTGTTTTCATTGGTAATAAAATTTTTCTTTATCTTATGTATAATTACGAATAATAACGACAACACATGTAGAGAGGAGTTCACAACCTCCATTGTGTTACCCTACAAGGAAGACACATTAGAAACTTTACACAGGATCCTCAACAAACCTGAGATTAGGGTGGCATTTAAACCTACAAACTCACTCAGAGATTAGCTTCGTTGACTGGTTTAAGGATCCAATAGAACCAATTGAGCAAAATAATCTAATCAATCAAATTTCATACAATGACTGTGAAGTCAAGTAAATAGGTCAAACTAGCCAGTCCGGGTCAGTTAGAATAGGAATTTAGCTAAATATACAGAATGACAGACCCGAATAACATCAATAATCTAGAAAACCACTTGACTGGCTATTCCGATGCATTCATTGACACACAACCACACAATAGGATGAGTGGGATAAAACCACTTAACATAAGTCCAATATAATTTGATGGGTATTGAGAGAGATTGATTACTGAATCTGTGTTCATCGAATCAACACCCAACCCACTGCATGTAATAGGAATGATGCTACACGTATAAGAGAGATATGGAAAATTTTACTACCAATAGGAAATGAAAGATATCAGGTGACAGGACTATCAAAATTGGATATTGGAATTTGTGTGATTCCATTGATATGATTATGAGCAATGATAATTTATACTGGAAACGTCGTCATCAAGTAAATAATACTGTATTAGGATGTGTTATAGATCAGGTAAACAAATCTAATAAGGAATAAAGGTAAGGTATTTTGATTTCAATGGTGTTCTTCAAGAATTTGACACCCGATGGTAGTTAACTTGCCGCTTCATTCATCAAGTTCCACAGGCTTCACAGATTACCTCTTAAAGTCTAACGGTCAATAATCACCACCCAAACTTTTATTTCGCTTTCAACCATCTCCCAGTTTAATAAAGAGTCTACAGGACCATGGCTGCCTCACTCAGATAGTCAAAATAATAGTCATTATGATTCTTTCCCCCTCTTCAATTCAAGTGTATTTGGATTAGGTGGAGAAGTTCTGAGTTGGCACCCTGTGTGAGTATGATCAAGCGATAGCAACACGTCACAAATTCACCTGACAGTCGGATAAAACTCTTGATGATTGGAATGAAAATAAAATATGGTCAATATTCATATCTCGTACCTCAGTTGGTACAACAACTAGCTGGAAACCCAGTGATAACCGGTTCGAATACTCCAGCAAGCCAAATTTTCACTTCACCTTCAATCAGTGCCCAGTACCAATACAAGTCTGCCGAACCACGGCTATCTAAGATGGTCAAACTGATGATCAATAATTAGATTGATGAAAATTATTTCAGCGGTTACCGGTTGAACATTCTCATGATGAAATCTGTAGGCGTAATATGAAATAATGTATTCCTTGATCTAACCCCAGATATGAACCCCTCTAGAAGAGGAATAGTTGGCCTATGACTTTCTATAAAGTTCCAAAAAGAAAAACTGAGACTACCAATCAGAACTTCTTCAATCCTTTACAAAGTGTAGAAAATTATATCACAAGAAAATCTAAGCGATTTAAATAAATCGCTGTAAATATTCTTGAGACAGAGGCCTATAGAACTTTGTTTTTAATTATTACGTCATAGGTTCGAAATCATAGAATCTATGAAAATCTTAACAACTAGGTAATTAATGGGAAATTTTATGATTGTGCAAAAGCTTAGTAAGGAGGAATGATTCCATGATATTGAAGTACAAAGAAGTCACTATCATATTTGCTGATTATCTAGTGGTTTACACAGACGGATGATTAATTTAATGCTAAATTTGTTGTCTAATATGATTTTGAATGGGTTCCACTGAATAAAGTAACCACCTCACTAAGGACTAGACAGAAAGACTGTTTACTCACTGGTGACTAATCCACGTAAATAAACCATTCCGATAAAGTGTGAGGGTGGATCAGTCATGCCCAGAATAGATCAGTGGTAAAGTCTCCCGACTCTAGTACTGAGCGGAGCATGTTCAAAACATCTTCAGATATGCCTTTCTGATGAGTTTTAATATGTACAAAATTTAGGTCATATAGAACTTCATGTTTATTATCAGATTCACTTACTAACAAGCAGCTGTTTCTAATACACTGATATACACGCATTTTATAGCATTATAACAATAATTCTCATACTGGCCAGTACAATTTTCATAAGGTCGTCCATCAAATTTATTTAACCCAAATGGTATGGCTAATGTCTCCTCCATTGTAAGTGATATAGCTCGAATATTTAATGATGGCTTTATCGAATATCTATATATCTCGGATTGTTTTATATCCTCTGTGTTTAATGTTGGCGGTGGAATTGTATTGTCTGATAATTCACTAGGTACACTATCCACTGGATTCGATGTAGGCACAGGCTCAGTGAATGAGACTGGTGTATCATTTGTAAATGCAATCGCTTCATATGTTGAAGACGGTAAGGATTCTGATGACGATAAAGGTAGGTTATTCTCTGTTTCTATGAATTTTTTACTTCTAATTGACTCTTCTTTTACGTGATCTTTTTCAAGTGGATCATCACTTTCATGCAAGGAAATATCAAAGTCTTTTTCAGTTGTATTTCCAGAAGATTCCACATCATTTTTACCTGGAATATCTTCAAGGTCAGTCTCTTCATTCTGCTCCAGATTATCTAAATAAGAATTCGAGTCTCCATTTAGGGGTGAATTTCCAAACGTGTTTTGAGGCGGTTGTGGATTAGTAGTAGACAGAGATGATGAATCTATACTGTCAGTTGTATTGTTGTTATCACTATTAGTGGTCAAGTCAAATGTATTCAAAGTGGAAGAAGTAACTGTTTGACCTTTAGTATGCTTAGACAAAACATCTCCAATCAATTCTTGACTGAATCTAGCCACATCAATTTTGTTAGCATCCTCGAAATTCACCGTTTTCTGTCGACTTCCATTACTATTTGTCCAGTTGACAAAATCATCGTCTTCAGGATGTTTCAATAAATTTAATTTGTGCAATTCATCTGGTAATCGTAGGGCATCATCATCTTCTTCTTCTTGTATAACTAGTAAATTTCGAATTTCCGGGTTATCGCTCAATATTTCAATAGTTGAATCATTCATATTAAATAATGATGATGATGATTTATCTGGTACAGATCTTCGAATTCTCCTCAAGTGTAAGTCATCATCTCCACGATTCTGTTCCATATGATGAACTGTATTTCTTAGTAGATGAGCTTTCAATTGTGTTGTAAACAATTGAATTTTATAAATACATGCATCTGTATAACAATTATACCTTGAACGAATATCACGTTCCTCTTTAACTAACTGAAGTAATCGTTTCAACCAATCAGATCGTGTACGTATAACATTCATGTATTTATTGACAGTACGTTGAACAATCATTTCAATAAATGTAAAAGTTGTACTACCTTCATTTGTAGATTTACCACTTTGAAATTTATAGTTAATCTCATCAAAATTTGATAAAGATTTAAGTAGTATATTAACATTATTTTTATTATTATCGCCATCATTATAATTCATTTTACTCAATAGCTTTAAATGATCTCTTAAACTTTCAATACTATGACGTTCAATGTGTTCAATATCAATATGATTGTCTTCTGGTGTATTTTCTGCCTCTTTCTTCATACGAATCAACTCAAAATTTGAAGGTGATTCAACAACTGTGATTTTGTTTAAACTACTATTTATCTCATTGTTGTTATTATAACTATTGTTAACGCTATCATGTTGACATTGAGCATGAGATATTGAACATATGATTATGAATGCACAAATTAAATATTCCGAACATGTTGTTTGAATACAATATTGAGAATTTAACATGTTATTTATTATTCAAATAAAATGTAGTAATAATGTAGAATAATAACTAAATTTATACAGGAAATAAAACATTTCATCTATTTCATTTGTTTATTTGTTTGTTTACTTTTTATCAAGTGAAAATGTGGAGAAATCAAGTTTTTCTCGTTATCTCAACTGTATATTATTATTTTCACAATTAACAAAGCAAATTATAAATCATAATTAAGTTTCTCTTTTAGATTTGGTGTTTAAAGATAACTGAATAAAGTAAATCCGATAGATTTTTGTTTAAATTTCAGTTTATTTAACCACGTTCACCTTTACATGTATAAAGAAGTGATATGAATGTATACAGCATAATGAACGAAATGCCTATTTATAATTGTACTGTGTAGAATCACCTTATCGTTTACAAACATATGTATACGTATACATACTAAATTTTATTTATTGTTTGGGATATGTGGAAGTGTGTACAGCATGAATATGGTTCTCTAACTGTACATCTATCTATGTGTACACTCCTATATGTCTGTATATATTGGTCCCAAAGTAATCTGAATGGCTAATACTCGTAAACACGTATATGTGTCCTATATCGGCATATATGTGTTATGATATGCTGTGCTGTGTTGTGTATGTTTGTAAATAAGGTGTGTACTTGTGTTTGTGTGTGTGTGTGTGCCTTCATAAACAGAATCTTCGATAACTGTGTAACCGACCATGTAGGTATTCAAACTATAAATATGTACAACAATAGATTTAATTTGTGAACGCTTATATGAAATGTATTCACTGTAATGAATTTTAATGCATTTGCATGATTGTCATTTCGAACAAAACGTTTCTTTATGGATGATTAACAGAATATGGTTGAACTTGTGCTGAACCTACGAAATCACTTATCCAACCAGAACGAATAATGAGTTCGAAGGGAATACCGTTTATACAGGCAGTACTATAAATCAGCGAACAACTCAAAAAACTTGTCAAATTATGATTATCTTGGTTGTAATGTGTTCTCTGAGATGGGTTGTCTAATCTTGAAGCTTTCAACGTCTTTCTAGACAACAACATCATCAGCACTAACTTCAGTATGAAGTAACTTGTCAACATCTCTCTGTGAGTGAGTGATTCATTAGCTTGCTTTGACCAAGTGGTTTGTGATTGATTGTTTCCTTCGATTGTTGTGTCATTGACTGTATAGATTTTCCTGCTAGCTGTTCCTCTGCTTCACCTATGACCTTTCTGTCGTTTACCATTTTTCTCACTGGTTTATAGATTGGATGACTATCTATACATGTGTTGATTGCTGACTGACTGACTGACTGACTGAGTGACTGGCTGACGTGAATGCCAAGCTTCTAGGAATTCTCTGATATTCTTTGTGTTTCCTCTCTCCATCCAAGATTTCTACATCGTTGAACTTCAATTCATATCCATAGTTATCCAAGTGCATTGAGATGAGTAATCAAGTGTCATGTGTGATGTCGAATGGCCAACTGATGTTCATGTAAATGACGAAGGTGAAGAGGGCGACCACTTTGTCCAATGTAGTGTTGATCACAGTTGTTGCAGTTGTGGAAGATGAGTACAAATTTGTGAGTTGAAAATATTTCAAGCGTTAGCAGGTCCTTAAGTCTCAGTATGCCGCTAGGAATTTGCTATTATTAAGTAATTGATACTGTATAATGATTGATGACTGAGTGTGGAATAGCTGTTCCGTCCTCATTCGGGACTCGTCAACACCGAACACCCAAAACCCCATGAAGAATTGAGCTAAGGACCGGTGACTTCCTCATCATTCAACCACTCGGTGGGGATCTGATAGTTTACTTTTGATTACTCCTATTAATCTGCTATACAGTGTGATCACCATTAGATGGTATTGGTTAGTAATTCTCTTTACCTTTTTACTAGTTTGATCCTACACTTCATGACTTCTCATTAGGTTTTCACCTTATAAGCACCAGACACCAATATAGTTGGTGGTTCATAAGAACTAATTCATTTCAAAGCAGCTTCGGTCATGTGACGATTTTGGGCTCAGTCCTTCTAAGAGATTTTAGTGTGTATTTTTGAGGATGGAGAAATGAACACACGATCTTGAACAGAAATGAAACAGTCCAGCTTGCCTTAGTTTATAGCACTACATAAAGCAAAACTAAACAAAAAGAGAATAATACCAAAGTTGAAAAGAGGCATGAGTTGAGAGACGATAAACAAGTAAACGTTAAGAAGATGTTGAGAACTTCAGACATGACAAACAACGTCTAAATCAACGCCATTATGACTACTTTTGAACTCTATCTATCGGTAAGAGTCTCTGTTCATCGATTTACATCATGTCAAAGATCCCATATAGGCAATGTACACATCTCTGGATGTCTTGGAAGAATGATCATAGTCTTCATGAACTAGTTCCATGTCTTTGTCTAGCAACACTTAACTTCTGTCTAGTCTGTTCCTAGTTAAGCTAACGTAGGACTTAGATGAAGGCGATTTTTTTGATGTGCGTAAAATAAGCTTAAACCACTTCGGTTGATGATGTTTGACAGTTCACATGATGGCTAGACAACATGTGAACAATGTTACAATGGCATTTATGGTTAAAAATTGTATTTTCAGTGACTATATCTGAAAGCTGCACAAAAGAATAGAGCAGACAACCACTTTTCATTTTCGTCATTTAACAAGAAACTAGATATTTCACTGGAGCTAAAGATGGGATAATTCATTACAACTAGAACAAGGTGTTTGTATTGTCAATAATCAATCCATTGGAGGTTAGTGCAACTTCTCAAGTTGGTGAATCGGTCAGATCGTTACACCATTTCACTCGTTATCCTCAAACTAAACATAAGTGCATACTAGTCTCTAGGCATTAACTAAAGAAACCGCATTTTATCAGTGTCTTCTCTTAGGACAACTGTATTTACATACTCAAAATCAAACACATGCTGTAAGAGGCAATAAGTTATCCCTAACAAGGTTGAAAAAGTCTTTTCACTTTGGGTAAGAGTTGAAAGACTGCTATATAAATTACAATTTAACCTGTGTTGAACTGTGAACTGTTCGTCAAAGAGTTCCTTCCTAAGTTCCAGGCGTTTGCTCTGGAACTGTATCAGGCACTCATATGTTTCTTTCTCTTTGTACTGGTCCCCTCAATATTCATGAATCATTGCCTAGTATTGTCTTCTACACTTATTTTGTTTTTGTCACACATACTTACAAAGACTTAATCAACTTATGCTTAGGTTGCAGTTTCTCCTCATCCTGGTGAGAGCCAACCAGGATGAGTTTTCTGTTTCCAATCAGTTTGTGCGAGTTTGAAGCGATCCAGTAACTCTTATCAACCTTTTAAAATCGGTAGCTAACTGTCATACCGCTCTTTCTACAGAGGACTGAATATTATTAACAGGTTTCACTATAGTGAAAATCACCACTTGCTCAGACGAATGTTTATCTATTCCCCCCCCCCTCCGCCTTCGTAAATGCAAACTTGATGTTTCATCTTTCAGCAAAGAGCACAGATGCTTTATTGCTGAAAGTTTCTTGCATCTATTAGAGCGTAAACATACAGGCGTACTTATTAATGTATGACCGGAGTCCAAGTAGATACTTAAAAAGAGCGGCGACCACTCAAGCTGATCTGTGGGTTTCGGCAGCCAGACTAGAGTTATCTAAACATCAGAGTGCCGTCTCACTCACAGAATAAAATTAGTCCTGATCATGTGAATCTGGCTAGTTGACTTGTATGGACAGATCGATATACTTACGAAACAACATAGAGGAGCTTTGTCTGAGTTGAGGAAAGGCGAAAATCTAATAATAAGTAGACCAGACAAAGCAGAAGGCTTGGTATCGTTCAACAGAAGTGACTATATTAATAAAATGACTATTCTTCCTAATGATCACACAAAGTTTCAAAGGACTGGTGACTCCCCAAACTTAAATAAAAAAGCAGAGAAGGAGATAATAAACACCCTCAAGAAACTAAAAGAAAGTGGGATAATTTCTGAGTCCACATACAACTCATTTAGACCTACAGGGAGTAACATACCACGATTGTATGGTCTGTCTAAAGTAAACAAAGCTGAACTCCCTTTTCGTTCAGTTTTAGGCATATCTAACTCCCCATACCAGACAGTTGCTAGGTGGCTAGTAAGGATTTTAAATCCCTTACACAAAAAATTAGTTGACCACAGTGTAAAAGACATTTTTGAATTTATTTTTAAGCTAGATAATGTGAATGTAAACGGAAAACATATAACGTCACTTGATATCTCATCACCATTCACTAATGTGTCATTACTGTAGACAGTAGAGTTGTGTGTCAACAAATATGGGAAAGGCAAATCAACACCAGGATTCCAGTAGACATCCTCAAGGGGTTGCTTCTTAAGTGTACTACGAATGTACATTTTGTCTTCAATAGCTCTCATTATAGAAAGATTGATGAGATAGCTATAGGTTCACCACTTGGCCCTGTTTTAGGTGATATATTTCTTGCCAAACTGGAGAACGGAGCATTGAAAGATGTAATTAAAGAGATGAATATGTATCACCGTTATACTGGCAATACATTCATTATCCTGAATGAGAATGTGGATACAAAAGAGGTGTTGAGAAAACTAACTGAGGTACACCCTTCACTGATTTTCACTTGTGAGGAAGAAAATGAGAGTAAACTATACTTCTTGGATATCTTGCTAAGCACAAGAGAAGACAGTTCACTCAGCAGATGTGTCTACAGGAAGACTACTTCTATAAGTTAGCATACACCTTTTCTCAGTCATGTACCCATTCGGTACAAGGCAAACCTGGTTAAATGTCTCACTTACACAGCGAGAAGAATATGTTTGGATGATCTAGTACAAAAAGAGTTAGAATATATTCGTAATTCATTAACTGAAATGGGCTACCTTAGTAATTTCATAATAAGATGTATGGACAAAGTGAGGGGGAAATAATCTGGGATTATTGCCTTACAAAGGAAACCATTGTTCATGAAATTTCAATTTAATGCAAATGTAACCGGAGTTTTATATCAAAGACTCTAGAGCCATTTAGAGGAACTCCTACGCCGTACAATTTTGTCTGTCATTTTCCAGTCGATCAGTTGTTACTGCTTAAACAAAAGATAAGTTATATGGTTTTGCCATTTCTATGTGTATTTACAAGTTTAGCTGCTCCTGTGGAGAAAGCTGTGTAGAGCATACTACTAGACAACTTAACGAACGTGTTGTTGAGCATCTACCTTCATGGTTGGGAAAAGGACAGATAAAGTCCGTCAGAAGCTCAGTTTTATCTCACCTCATTGATAGTAGTTGCTTGGTAGATAAGAACAATACTTTCACGATTATTCACCGCATACCATCTTATCTTTGGAATGGTATTCGAACTCGTCTTTTACATATAGCTGTAGGAAGCTATGGGAATTCGAGCCAGTAATCTTAGTCTTTGTATCCAACGAATACTTAATTAAT